CACACACACACACACACACATACACACAAACAAGCTGTAGCAGGGCAGGGTCATAAAACTTTATAGGGGTTGTAATTCTCGCTGACTCTCACTAAGATCGTAAATAACTCGACAACAAAAAGCGATGCTCACAAATGGACAAAACACTATACAAAGAAAGAAAGAAAGAAAGAAAGAAAGAAAGAAAGAAAGAAAGAAAGAAAGAAAGAAAGAAAGAAAGAAAGAAAGAAAGAAAGAAAGATAAAAAACATTAACATGAGAAATACACCAATGTTATGGAGAAATGAAATGGGGAGTGAAGATCGACTGATTAAAACGTTCAGGCTACCCTACCATGAGCGATGTGCACTTTCTTCATCCACGGGTAGACAACAATGGGCGGCTTGTCTTTGCCCTGGCAGGCCGTTTTCCTCTGCACCTGAGCGGGCTTTGCGCAGGTCATCCAGGCCTGGCACTGCAGGTCACCCACGGGAAACCTCTCCTTCACGGGCCCGTCCGTCTCTCTGTAGACCGGGTAGGTTGCATCTTGATGCTGCGAGGGGTCCTCTCCATCTTGCCGGCGATGCCCCTGCAAAGAGTGTTGATAACCGGTTTGTTGTTGTGTATAAGGAGGCGGAGGGGGCTGCATGGACATATAGCCCCCTCCATAACTGCCACTGTCCTCGGGGTTGTTGTAATACCCCCCTTGTTCATTAAAATTACTGTAATCTTCTTCACATGGCGGGAACTGCGGCTCAGCATATTTACAGCTCACCACGTAGGACTCCATGATTGATTTATAGTGAGGCTGGTAGGAGAATACTAATTTTTCTTTCTCTCCCCTCTCTCTGTCTCTTTTCCCCCCTCTGGCATGAAGCCATCCTGCGGCTGTCAAATAGACGGACGGCCGCTCGGGCCACGTGACCCTGCGGCCAGCCAATGAGAGGCGACACTTTTGGTTGTTTATGTCAGACGTAATGGGATAATTTGGAGGAAAAAAATGTTCATTATAGAACTAATGAAGATTTGCTGGCCGGGTAAGTTGCTACGGTTAGGTGTTTGTGGACACTGAAAAATAATCCTGACAGTTTAAAGTGTTAATATGAGTAATTCAAATCTATCTATCTATCTATCTATCTATCTATCTATCTATCTATCTATCTATCTATCTATCTATCTATCTATCTATCTATCTATCTATCTAT